AGAGAGAGAGAGAGAGAGAGAGAGAGAGAGAGAGAGAGAGAGAGAGAGAGAGAGAGAGAGAGAGAGAGAGAGAGAGAGAGAGAGAGAGAACACAAACATTCATCCGTGTTTATGTTCAAGAGAGAATGATAGAAGGCATAAACGCTACAAGAGCGGCTCAAATAAGGACAGAGAAACAAACGAAGCAACAAAAGCAAGACTCCCCAGTAACGCAAGCTAGCGAGGCGAGGAAATATAACACTCGCTTCAAGTTTACGTTTATGAGGTAAATAGACCGAAGAAAAAACAATCAATATGTATATCAACGATAATATTTATATCTTGCATATTAAATAATGTGTAGCCATTAGGCATGAGTTAAGATCCTCTGTCTGTTACCTGGCGATGATTTCGGGGCTCAGCGTCCCCACGACCCGGTCCTCGACCAGCCCTCCTGGTTGCTGGAACTCAACCTGGTTGATCAGGTAGCCTTTGGAGGTGATTATCCAGTTCTCTCTTGAACACTGTGAGGGGTCGGCCAGTTATGGCCCTTATGTGTGGTGGAAGCGTGTTGAACAGTGTCGGGCCTCTGATGTTGATAGTTCTCTCTCAGAGTACCTGTTGCACCTCTGTTCTTCAACGGGGGTATTCTGCACATCCTGCCATGCCTCCTGGTCTCATGTGGTGTTATTTCTGTGTGCAGGTTTGCGACCAGCCCCTCTACTATTTTCCATGTGTAAATTATTATGTATCCTCCATGGTAGTCCTTTGTGTGGGTTTCCGTTAGGGCTGCAAACACTGCATTTGCCTCATTAAGGAGACCATCTATAAAATGAACTTTATTACATTTGAGAGTTTTTATACCCTGGATGTTGGCTGGATAAATGATGTTATCGTGTTTTGATATTCCTGGGAGGGTATTTATCCTGAGGGTGTACACCCTCCCAGGCCAGAATATTACACCACCACCCTACACACCCTAAAATACCTCACCCTTGACCCTCGTGCTACACCAATTCACAGGTTAACAACCTATGAAGTCCTGGTCGCCAGCATTTAATCAGCGGGCGACAGGAGTGCCACAAGAGTATCAACTGTGATGTGGGTCAAGCACTGCCAGTGTGAGTATGGCACTGCTGCTGTGGGTCAGGCACCTCTGGGGTGGGTCAGGCACCTCTGGGGTGGGTCAGGCACCTCTGGGGTGGATCAGGCACTGCTGGCCTCCTCACAGTCACCTGTGACTCTCACACGTCTCTCATGCCTTCGCGACTGCAGGAGAGAATGAGGAGGAGAGATCTTACACAAGCTGTTCAACTAGTGTGTTCCAACGTCAGCAGGAGCAGGTGGCCTACTGTACACCTGGAATATACCTGGAGTGGGTTCTAGGAGTTGTTCTACTCTCCAAGACCAATCTGGTGCCGGGCTGGACTTGTAATAACCTGGTGCAATAGGTTGCTGCTTGAAGCGGACTTACACATCCACTACAACCAGTTTGGTCTGGCAAACTGGTTGCAGGAACATGCCTTATTTTTTTTTTAACACGTTCACGTTGAACGTGAACACCGGCAATATTTCTTCTACTTGATGGGGGGTATTAAACATCTGTGGACCTCTGATGTTCATGCAGTGTTCTCTCATTGTGTCTACGACACCTCTACTCTCCTTTGGGTCTATTCTACATCTCCTACGATATCGTACGCCCTTGTATGTTGTTATTTTATAAATGTGGGATCCTTTCTAGAGACGAGAGCTTTGAGACCCAATAATTTAGGTGCTTCACCGCGTCTATGCGTGCCGTATATGTTCTCTGTATTCACTCTATTTCAGCAATCTCTCTCTCCTGCTCTGAAGGGGGAAGTGAGTACCGACCAGTGCTCAAGACGGGACAGCATCAGTGGTTTATATTGTATGACCATTGTGATAGGGTCCCTGGATGTGAACGTTCTCATAATCCATCCTATCATTTTCCTGGCTGTTATATTTGCTTGGTTATGGTCACTAAATGTCAGGTCATCAGACATTGTCAGGGGTGTGGCCTGGGGTGGGGTGGGGGTGTCAGGGGTGTGGCCTGGGGGGGGGGGGGTGTCAGGGGTGTGGCCTGGGGTGGGGGGGGGGTGTCAGGGGTGTGGCCTGGGGTGGGGGGGGGTGTCAGGGGTGTGGCCTGGGGTGGGGGGGGTGTCAGGGGTTTGGCCTGGGGTGAGGAGTGTCAGGGGTGTGGCCTAGGGTGTGGGGGGGGGGAGAAGGGAGGGGGGGGGTTGTTTACACACAGAACACCGCCCAATGCCTGTGGACGAGCTGGAGTAAGTGGCACTAATTGGCACTGGGGTGGGCCGAGTTAGTGCCTCCGCGCTACCGTGCTTCCACTCAACATGGCACGCTCAGGATTTATTATTTTGGCGGCCAGAATGAAGTGCTTTGACGGGATTTTTAGTGACCATCAACACAATTAAATATAATTATGTTTGAGTGACTGCCCCTTCCACCAGTTGTTCTTCAACTCGTCAAACTGGTGTAACAACAGGGCGCCTTGTGCTCCGAGGCCGCCTCCTCCCTCCTGGCACAACCAGGTGCTTCTACATCATAGCAGAGACTTACCATAAGGTCATGTGGATGACAATTGAGAGAGAGCAGAGCTCAACCCCCGCAAGGACAACTAGGTGAGTAGAACTAGGTGAGTACACACACACACACACACACACACACACACACAACCATGTACATGACTGGTGAAGGATTAGGGGGAGACTTTACTCCGGAACAATTAAGCTACGCCAGCTGGCGACTTCAAAACATGATTAAAACCCAATATAAAGTTCCTGTTGTTGGCGAGGCCACGATCCCCTTGTGAAAGAGGGGGTGGGTGGGGGTGTGTGTGGGGGGGTGATTGGTGGGGGTGTGTTGGGGGGTGGGGATGGTTGGTGGGGGTGTGGGAGGAGGGGCGGTTGATGTGAGAAGTAAGATGGAAGGAATGGGTATGAGGTGGGGGGGAGGGGGTGGAGGAGATGAGTGTTGGGGGTGGGGGGAGGTGGGGAGGGGGGTCTTGAGGGGGGGAGGGGGCGTGAATCACTAAGACAACATCGTGGCCTCCAGCTCTGGGGATGCTCTCCGCCAGCCATGAGTCAAGAGAGCCCAAACGCTTCTGTCTGGGTGGGCGGGTCTTGGGCACGAGACGACCTTGTCCGTGGGTATGGGTATGGTCAGCTCCATGCGTAAGGTCACGTGGATGAGTATGCGTAAGGTCATGTGGATGAGTATGAGTAAGGTCACGTGGATGAGTATGCGTAAGGTCACGTGGATGAGTATGCGTAAGGTCACGTGGCTGAGTATGCGTAAGGTCACGTGGATGAGCATATGGATGAGCCACAGAGACACCACACCAGCCACGAGGCCCTCGGACAATACATAAGCACTTCAAGTGGGAGGTCCACGTGAAGAGCCCATCTTAAGACATCTTAAGGCATCTTAAGACATCTTAAGGCATCTTAAGACATCTTAAGAAAGCTATGCGCCGGAAATAATAAGAATGTCTTTATAAATATTAAAACCAATGTGCTGAATCATTTAAATACAGAGTGTCTCGTAAGTCCAGAACCACACCCTGTAAGTCCTGAACCACACCCTGTAAGTCCTAAACCACACCCTGTAAGTCCTGAACCACACCCTGTAAGTCCTAAACCACACCCTGTAAGTCCTGAACCACACCCCTGTAAGTCCTGAACCACACCCTGTAAGACCTGAACCACACCCTGTAAGTCCTGAACCACACCCTGTAAGTCCAGAACCACACCCTGTAAGTCCTGAACCACACCCTGTAAGACCTGAACCACACCCTTTAAGTCCTGAACCACACCCTGTAAGTCCAGAACCACACCCTGTAAGACCTGAACTACACCCTGTAAGACCTGAACCACACCCTTTAAGTCCTGAACCACACCCTGTAAGTCCAGAACCACACCCTGTAAGACCTGAACCACGCCCTGTAAGTCCAGAACCACGCCCTGTAAGTCCAGAACCACACCCTGTAAGACCTGAACCACACCCTGTAAGTCCTGAACCACACCCTGTAAGTTCAGAACCACACCCTGTAAGACCTGAACCACGCCCTGTAAGTCCAGAACCACGCCCTGTAAGTCCAGAACCACACCCTGTAAGACCTGAACCACACCCTGTAAGTCCTGAACCACACCCTGTAAGTTCAGAACCACACCCTGTAAGACCTGAACCACGCCCTGTAAGTCCAGAACCACGCCCTGTAAGTCCAGAACCACACCCTGTAAGACCTGAACCACACCCTGTAAGTCCTGAACCACACCCTGTAAGTTCAGAACCACATCTCGATACACCAGGCGGACTCTCCCGTCTGCATAAGAGTCGCTGGTGAAAAACCGCGTCAAAGGTCGTCTGGGGAGTCCGAAAGATCTCTACCCCACACCATGGGTAGGAATGAGTGTGAGGGGATGTGTGAGACACACACACACAGGGACACAGGAGCCAGTGGGACACACACACAAGGACACAGGAGCCAGTGGGACACACACACAAGGACACAGGAGCCAGTGGGACACACACACACAAGGACACAGGAGCCAGTGGGACACACACACACAAGGACACAGGAGCCAGTGGGACACACACACACAAGGACACAGGAGCCAGTGGGACACACATACAAGGACACAGGAACCAGTGGGACACCACACAGGGACACAGGAGCCAGTGGGACACCACACAGGGACACAGGAGCCAGTGGGACACACACAGGGACACAGGAGCCAGTGGGACACCACACACACACACACACAGGGACACTCCCCACCTCCCTAATTTACCACTAATGATCTAATATACTACCCATTACTGTCTCTTCATCTTAATAACATGTATTACCTAAGATATATTACGCTCGCTTCTCAATACAAGTCTCGCTGCTCTTATTAACTATCCTCCGGAAGCTGCTGACGCCGCTGCTGCTAGTCAATACAACCAGGCTCCAAAGATGGCGCCACAGCCAGACTCCACAGATGGCTCCACACCCAGGCTCCACAGATGGCGCCACAGCCAGGCTCCACACCCAGGCTCCACAGATGGCGCCACAGCCAGGCTCCACACCCAGGCTCCACACCCAGGCTCCACAGATGGCGCCACAGCCAGGCTCCACAGATGGCTCCACACCCAGGCTCCACAGATGGCTCCACACCCAGGCTCCAGAGATGGCGCCACACCCAGGCTCCACAGATGGCGCCACAGCCAGGCTCCACAGATGGCGCCACACCCAGGCTCCACAGATGGCTCCACACCCAGGCTCCAGAGATGGCGCCACACCCAGGCTCCACAGATGGCGCCACAGCCAGGCTCCACAGATGGCTCCACACCCAGGCTCCACAGATGGCGCCACAGCCAGGCTCCACACCCAGGCTCCACAGATGGCGCCACAGCCAGGCTCCACAGATGGCTCCACACCCAGGCTCCACAGATGGCTCCACACCCAGGCTCCAGAGATGGCGTCACAGCCAGGCTCCACAGATGGCGCCACAGCCAGGCTCCACACCCAGGCTCCACAGATGGCTCCACACCCAGGCTCCACAGATGGCGCCACACCCAGGCTCCACAGATGGCGCCACACCCAGGCTCCACGGATGGCGCCACACCCAGGCTCCACAGATGGCGCCACACCCAGGCTCCACAGATGGCGCCACACCCAGGCTCCACAGATGGCGCCACACCCAGGCTCCACAGATGGCGCCACACCCAGGCTCCACAGATGGCGCCACACCCAGGCTCCACAGATGGCGCCACACCCAGGCTCCACAGATGGCGCCACACCCAGGCTCCACAGATGGCGCCACAGCCAGGCTCCACAGATGGCGCCACACCCAGGCTCCACAGATGGCGCCACAGCCAGGCTCCACAGACGGCGCCCCAGACAGAGGGGGAACTGATCCCAGGTGTGTGTGACCAGTATTATATATACAAGGATGTGGAGTTGAAATAACTAACATCAACATATTTGACCTTGATCTTTAGGTAAATCTTTAGTATCAAGAACAATCGATATATATATGATAATATATCAATCCTTTACACCATCTTGTAATCAATATTTACTACGTTATGCTGGTAATAAATGACATTGTGTGAGCTGGAACTTTTCCCCCAATATTGAGAGCTTCTCATATATATATTTACAAGGCCAACTATTGACATGTAGATATGTAAATAGTGATGGAAAAGTGATTGTTCTGTCACAGCTTTTCCTCCCACTCCCACACACGACCTCTCCCACACACGACCTCTCCCACACACGACCTCCCACACACGACTACTCCCACACACGACCACTCCCACACTGACCCGGTGGCGCGCTCGTTGGTGTACGAACTGCCGTCATGTTTGCTGGAAACATGGAAACACTGGTACACTGTGGAGTCTGCCACCGCTAAGAGCCTCAGTGTGGAGGCTGCCACCGCTGAGAGCCTCGCTGAGAGCCTCGCTGAGAGCCTCACTGAGAGCCTAGCGCGTGACGTTCCAGCAAAGAGTCAACACACCGTGACTCACTGGGTGGAAATAACGCTAAGGATTCCATTATATAATGACGCAAAGTATGCGAATAGTTCTGCTGACAGAGTTTACATCTAGTCAAGTCTACATCAGCAGGAGCAACAAACTCCCAGGAGGTACTTGTTGCCAAGCCTAAGCCTAGCAGCGGTGATATCTAACCACTGCTGACCTTTTAGGATGACCCATAGACGTGCGGTTCTTCCTGTATAATAGAAATATGATAGATGGAATAACTGGTGTGAATTTCACTGTGCCAGATTCACGAAGCAGTTACGCGAGCATTTACGAACCTGTACATCTTTTCTCAATCTTTGGCGGCTTTGTTTACTACTACTAAACAGTTAATGAGCTCCGAAGCACCACTAGGAGGCTGTTTATAACAATAACAACAGTTGATTGGCAAGTTTTCATGCTTGTAAACTGTTTAATAAATGTAACCAAAGTCGTCAAAGATTGAGGAAAGATGTACACGCTCGTAAGTGCTAGCGTAACTACTTCGTGAATCTGACCCCCGCAGGAAAGCAACACTTACCATCATCCCACAGACCATAATGCTACACCCGAGGAGGGTGGGGAGGTGGGGGGGAGTGACCACTTTCAGGTGTGAGAGCAAGTTGCAGGTGTGAGAGCAAGTTGCAGGTGTGTGTGAGTGTTGGAACAAGTGACCGGCGGGTAATCTTGTGTTGTAACGCCGCCAGACACGTCGCTCATTTCCTGTTTCCACGACTGAACGAAGGCCAGGGGGAACAAGCCACACTTTACTGGCACGGCGGCACTCGAAGAGTCCACAATGTTGTAGAAAATGTAGGGGGTAAAGAAAGACAGCTCTAGGGGGGGTAACTGGCACAAAATAGCTTTAGCAGGAAAGAAAATGGATATAAGTCGTCCTCCATAAGCAGATTTCTACCCCCATTTCTAGAGGAGTAGAGTGTGAGTGTGAGTGGAAATGTTGAGAGGAAAAGACGTGTCTGGACAGTGGAGTGAAAAGGTCAATGCACAAACCTTCATTTAATAGGTTAAAGTTTTACCAAATTTAACAATCTGAACTTTCCACGAGAGGGAAAGGAAGGTGGGGTGGGGTGTAAGCACAGACGTGCACTGGCACTCCTGCAAGAGTGCCAATCTTGCAGGAAAGGATCACAAAACAGGAAAGTAAATAAAACTCGCCAACCAGAAACAGTTCAGAGTGCAATACGAGCGTGACTGGCGACTATAGCGCCCCTGCGGCAAGTTTCAGTGACAACGCTGATCTCAGCGGTCTAGTAAGTCCGCAACACGAATCTCCACATACATCCTCGGGGTCTTAAGACCGAACGTCTCCCGACCAGGGGCCAGATTCACGAAAGCACTTACGCAAGCACTTACGAACGTGTACATCTTTCCTCAATCTTTGACGGCTTTGGTTACATTTATTAAACAGTTTACAAGCATGAAAACTTGCCAATCAACTGTTGTTATTGTTATAAACAGCCTCCTGGTGCTTCGGAGCTCATTAACTGTTTAATAATTGTAAACAAAGTCGCCAAAGATTGAGAAAAGATGTACAGGAGAGTGACAAAGGGAGCACCTCAGGGATCAGTACACGGGTACTTGATGGTACACGGGTACTTGACGGTACAAAGGTACTTCATGGCCACACGCCTACTTAACTGTGCAAGTAGGCTCCTACATATAAAGTTTGTCAATAATGCAAGACTGACGACCATCATGATGGAGAAAGATTAGAGAATGTTCCAGGTGGATCTAGACAGCTTAGAGATGATTAAAGGACTTAAATTCAAGCAACTGCAAGGAGATAAGACTCGGAACTGGGAAGAGGCGGCCACAAGAACTGCGTATAAGAGATAAAAAAAAAACACAATTACTATGCACATGAGCAGGACAAGAGGGCGTGAAGATAAACTACAAATTCAGATGAACCACTAAGGCGAATGATAACAATTCTTCAGTGTAGTTCATTATTCAATTAGTATTCAATTATTGTAGTTCATTAATCAATAGTAGTTCAATTCATTAGTGCAGGAAAGGGAAGGTATAGTGGAGGCTAACGCCATACACAGGATAAAGTAGGCATGACTGTGGCAAAGGGACGGGATCCATTGGAATAGGTGACTACGAGACATTTTCAAGAGCTCTGAGGCTCTCCGAAAGGTACAGATAGGAGAGTGTAAGCCTAAGTACGCACAAACGCGTGCGCGTGCACACACACACACACACACACACACACACACACACACACACACACACACACACACACACACAACACACACACAACACACACACAACACACACACACACAACACACACTACACACACATATAAGCAACCCCCCCCCCAAACACACACACACTACACAACACACACACATATAAGCAACCCCCAAACACACACACACAGTTTGCAACGTGGAGCAGTATTGTGTTGTAATTCAACGTGAATTACAACACAAAATAAGAGAACAATGAATGCATTATCAAACAAGACAAGGTTAAGTGTACAGGTGAGCCAATGTAAGCACTCGCCCCTCCCTCTCTCCCTCTCCCAGGACACTCCCACCCCTCAGTCTGGCGGGTGTCCTGAGTGCAAGTTGGTACTCATCCCCCACGCTAGTGGAGTTGTCACAGGTCCCCCACGGTAGCGGTCATCACAGGTCTCCCACGGTAGAGGTTACTATTCACGTAACTACCAAATACCAAGGAGAGTGTCGTCTGAGGTACCGGAACATGTACCAGACCGGCCAGTGTGTCTCAGAACCTCCTGGAGCACACTTGTTTACTGCCTCACCTGCAGGCACTATACTGCTTCACCCTCCAGACACTATACTGTCTCACCCTCCAGGCACTATATTGCCTCACCCTCCAGGTACTAATAAAACCACTACGTGAATCCTTTACCTAAAGGTTAGTATGTAATAGAAGCGGCAAGACACGTGAACTAATATTATCAAGCTACAAGATGAGCAGCAGTAATGACCCAGCCCACCACCCCAAGCTCACGCCGCTCCACACACACACCTCAGTAACTCAAAGTCTGGAGAATCCTGTAAAAAAAAAGAACTTAAGCTAATAAACTCAAATTTCCTTTGAGCGACACCCCTAGTATGATTATAGAGACGTGGCTAGCACTAATTGTCAGAGCAGCCACGGTCAACATGTAGCCTGTGTGATGGTTGACACGAGACATATGCAGCTACATGTCACTAGAGCTCTAGTGTGACATGTGTGAGCTCTAATGTGGCTCACAATAGAGCTAACCCACACACGGAAGAATGTTTAATGTTTGGTCCCGTTTCCGTCGCGCCATAACATTTCTCACAGGCTGGGTTTGAGCGGGTCACAGTAAACAAATCAAGCTAAAACTCCCCGGTAAACACCAACAAAATATCATTAGAGAGGAAGAGAGAAGCGAGGGACGCCATGCTGCCGTGAGCAGCCCACCAGCAGTAGCCAGCACCTCACCCCAGTATCCTTACTATTAGTAAATTTTGCCCCGAGGGGCGAGTGGGGTCAGCGCCGCTCATCCTGTGGGTCGGCACACCGCCATAGCAGCGTGTACAACACTCCCCAATAGGAAGAAAACCCGCTGGGTTGTTCATCCTGTCACTTGTACCCAGACACAGCTGGGACTTGCTTAACTGTCTCAAGTGAACAGCTTAAGCATCCTTACATATATTCCAACCAATATGGACGCTCCCCCGTCATTATGTAGAAGGTTATGAGCGAATAGGTAGTGTAGTGGAGAGTATTGTGTGAGGGACGGGTAGGCGTTACGGTAAGGGAAGGGGTGGTAGGGGGTTGTGGTGGTGGTGGTAGAGGTTGTGGTAGAGGAGCTAGGGGTTGTGGTAGAGGAGCTAGGGGTTGTGGTAGAGGAGCTAGGAGTTGTGGTGAAGGTGGTAGGGGTTGTGGATGTGGTAGGGGTTGCGGTGGAGGAGCTAGGGGTTGTGAAGGTGGTAGGGGTTGTGGTAGAGGGGGCAGGGGTTGTGGTAGAGGAGCTAGGGGTTGTGGTAGAGAGTGTAGGTGTGATATACAGGGCATGTTATGATTCCCAGCGGCATGGCAGCTGGCGTGTGAGTGGCTGGCCGACCTTGGTGGGCGGGGCGTGACGGGGGCCTGGCGGAAGCGACTGGTGGGGTCTGTTGTGGCTGTTGTCCCGCACGTGGTGGTGGAGGAGGTGGTAGAGGTGGTGGGCAGTAACCGGCTCCTCTCACTCACACACACACACACACACACATTCACTAACAAACACAGGTAAACACACACAAACACCCACGGAGCCTGGACCTGAACCTCCCTCGTGTGTCCGAGGCTGTGTCCTTGACACTCCACTAAGGTTCCTGGTAATCCAGGCAACAAAGCAAATATTAACTGCCAAGTATAAGCCT